TACTAAAAGCAACATTAAATTTAAAAGAAACATTAATTAAAGACCGAAATGGAGAATCATATTTAATTAAGACCTTGTGGCCTCTTTCATGACAATTGTGACACACTATTCCAATGTTATACTGTCCCCGTGCTCGAAGAATTTGAGTTGTATCCACAGGTGGAATATTGAAAGACGGATGAGCATATTTACAATCCCTTCCATCCATGCAAAAGCCTGCCAAAAAGTTAGGACAAAGAACGCGCCGGCGATGCCGATGCTTACAAAATGGGCCTGAAATAGTACGAATGAAAAGCAATATCCTTTGTATCCTTAAACCATCTTCCAAAAAGAAAGTGAATATTTTGGGAAAGAACCACTTACCATGTCGACAAAAACCACGGTCGTACCACGGACAATCCTTGATTTTACTTTCAGGGTCAATATGTCGAAAAGGACATTCACGATTACTACAAGCCACTGAAAGTGAAGTAAAGAGTGAGAATAATGGACAACTCCAATTTTCAGCAAAAATTACCGGCACTTCTTTGACTTCCACTAAAAAATAAATTTAGAAAAAACCATTCCAAAATATTCGTAGCATAAGAAAGAATGGAAACCTACTATATTTCGAAAAGAAGAAGCATTCCGGCATTTTACTTAAATCGTACTCATGCAAAAATTCACATTGGTCTCCTTTTTTACATAGCCCGCGCAACCAGTGTTTACATACTACAGCCTACAAAAATTTTTTAAACAAATAAAGCAGTGTAATTCGTTTGCAATGAATGGAGAGCAAATTGTGTATGTGGAATTTCTAAATTATATTGAGTGCAGGCTGGAAAATGTGAAGAAAAGATAGCGTTAAATGAAAAATCTATTCCAATATGAAAACAGCATCAGCAGGACAGAAAATGAGATGTAGCAACATCATGCCTTATCTCCAACGATATGTCTCAGTGGGCAAACAGTTCCCATTATACATGTACCCTGTTCATTACGTATACACACACCACGACCACTTTTGTCCATTCCCGAAAATGGGGCCTGAAAATTTCCAATGTGACAAATCTGAAAAGCGTCCCTTATCAATTAGATACAAATCTCAAAAAAAAAGAATTTCCTATCTAAATCTGCTCATGAAAAAAAGGCATTATCATGACCAGCTTGATTTCAGGTAGTTAGTCCTACATATGATTGGACAAACAAGGAACCTCTCTTGCTCCGCGCTGTTGTAATAACATTTCCTCGACATCCAGTAAAGCGCATGATATCCCAGACATGTAATCTTCCATTGTAAGTGGAGTACTACCGAACACTGAATAATGATAGTACGGCATCGCTGTCATTGCTGCCATTTTATGCTCCTCTAATTTCAAATGATCTATAAAAACATATTCAACATCATCAGATGGTATATTTTATTCATTCTGATCGTTTTAAAAAAGTTGTTACATTACTGAAAAGTTTAAGTAACTCTGGCACAAGATAGTTAACTATCCAATACTGAAGAGATTCAAAACAGACGACATCCAGCATTTGACCGTCTTAAGGAAAAAATATTCTTGTTTGGGACATGATGGCCGAACGATGCTGATGGTCCAGATCTCAATTTTCATACTACATTACAGAGTTCTTTGAATTCTTCTTCTGTATGGTCATCCACTAGAGACTTTATCTCCATTCGTTGTTTATTGTCACAAAATTCGATTATCTTCTTTATGATTGCATATACATATATGACTGTCATATTTTAAAGTATAGTTTCTTCTAAGATAAATTATGCTGGATAAGTGAAGTCATTTTGATAACGGGAAATGTGAAATATGGAGTTGATTTACACGTTCTATACGCTAAATACTATAATGTTCGTTACATCGATAATCTCAGTCTGGACTGTCCATACTCTAAACAATGGGAAAAGAACGAAAATATGGCAAATATTTCGAATCACTGAATCTTGGTCAAAAAGACATACCGACAACTCCCTTTAGATACCCCCAGACAAATTAACGGTCAAGTCATACTATGAAAAGCTTTCGTCCCGATCTTTTTAAAAGTCGCGATAGTTTAAGCGGTAGATGATATAATTGTTCCATTGTTTTGGGAATGTGTCTTAGTATGAAGACGAACTACCAATATTAGGTATGCTTTGTCTACCACTTGAAGTCTAGGCTTCAAACAAATCCACAGAATCTCATTGTCACCTCTGTCCTTCACACTGCAACTTCCCCTCCTATTTGCGGAAGGTTTTTGCATACCAAAGTTGAGATAATCGCCATATCGCAAGGCAATATTCAATTAAGTCCTTCTTAAATCTTAGACTAACAAACATCACGGTCACGAGAAGAAAAACCTGAACAACTCAGCATTTAAGGGACTTACCCTAGATTCGGGGCACTGAGATCTGGAATATATTCCAGATCCCATAATACCATTGCACTCCTGTAACAGTTGCTCTCTATCACCTCAACCTCCTTATCCAGAATTAGATTACTGAGAGCAGTTTCAGATGTGATTAAAATCGATACTGAGATTTAGAGCAATTCCTGTTATTTGGAAGGGATCTCTTTTAAAATCACTACTTCCTGTCCAATATCCAAGGAATTTACAAAGCTCTGTCCTTCACTTATTGTAGATTACTTCTACCACATTTTCGAAAAGCTTCCAAAAAAGATGCCAATCAATTATGTAGCACTTTGCATTTATAGATTTTGAATATGCTTGACAGTTATCAAATCCCAAATGGAATGGACACGAGATCCTATTCAAGAAACTTAAATTTAACACAAACGCAATGCTAGCAGTAGTTCATTATAAAACAAGAAAAATATGTACTCGTAGCTTAACAAACAAATGAAGTCTGATCTGGTAAAGAAGGCTCCACGAGCAGACAGTCAACTAAAAATACCAGGAACAATGAGATTCGTTCACAAATAACAACAAAATATGAATCAAACATAGAGGATAGAGAAATCTTTGAAGCTATAAAACTTTAATTCTACTGATTTCACTTCCAACAGTGGAATTTTTTTTGTGATTTAGGATAGATTTGAAATAGCAACAATCACCCGGAATGAACATATGTATTTTTATTATTATACGTCAATTTATATATGTATATATATTATACAGCTCAAAAACAATATTCAAATCATTTTCTTGAGATAGAATATTTGTTTAAATGGAATTTTTTATATTTCAGACATTTCAACAAAAAATACCTTCAAAAATGAAGAGCTTTACAAATTGAGAAACACTTTTTAAAAACATCGAAAAAATCACAATGGCTATCATTAGCAACAACAAGCTCTAGAAAGAACTGATAATCCATATAAAAATTTTTTTGAAATTGGAGCGACTACAGAAGCAAAGGGAGAGTTAAATCCAGTTTTTTTGCTATGTTTTAAATTTTTTTAAGATTAAAATCAGTGACTTATTTCTCTTATTTCTCAAGGGCATGGATGTAATTATTTCAACATGTTCATAAAATTTGACTGTGAAAAGCTTTATCATAAAAAATAAGACTGGATGGCATGGAGAACTAAATTTCACTTGAATATCCACACTTATGCCTTTCGCCCGTGTACACGAAAGCGATACAAGCATGTGTAGTCTGAATTCCAGTTTGACTGCACCACCAATTCAACTATTGATACTGGCGTTTTGAGCTCGTTCTGTAAAAAGTGATACCATATTTCATGTTTTCCACTAGATGATATCTTTTACCGCTTCATTCGCTTCAGTTAAACTTACCCAATTTCCGCAATCTAAGTATGACGGATGAGCTGTCTAGCTGACTAAATACAGACAGATAAAATTTATTAAAATGAGAAAAACTTCTTTATTCCAGTACTTTGACAAACTTTTCTAGAAGATTTAGAACATCAAACCTGTGCATGAAATGTTTGCAATGCTCTTCCCTTAATGTCATATTCATATTGTCCAATTAAGAACTTTGATTTGAAATCATCAACTGCTTTGTAAGACTGGAAAGGGAACCGAAAGTTCGCAAATCAGTTTAAATCAAGAACAAAACTATCGAACGAATTACCGACTATACTGATGTTTCATTCTACTATTCAGTGGTTTAATTTTAATTCTACAAAGATAAAAGATTTTGACTGAATTCAAAGTTCATTGCAAGATTCCGAAAAATCTTAGTATATTGTTCCGAGATCTAATAGAGTTTTTGCTCCTTAATTATGACTCAATTTCCATTGAAAAACATACGTAAACTTGGAAAAGTTTCGGTGCACTTTTCAAAACTCCATCTGGATGCAAATTTGAATGTAAATGCTCGTAGCTAATTTCTGTGACATAAATTGGATGCGATAACTTTATTGTTAGGTATCCTTTACCACGAAAAGCCCAACATTCACCAGCTGCCAAGGGACGATGCTAAAATAAATTTACAACCATAAAAGACATCTAATGTCAAAAAGTTGAAAAATTTCGCGAAAACATACACCAATTTCATTCCATAACAAAAATATGCATGAATTACCTGAATAACAGCTCTCGGTGAATAAGAAGAATACCAGAGCGGGATTCCAAAAATTGATTCCACTCGTGAATTTTCCTTGTATGGCTCCGTACAGCGCGTACTTACAACAGATGCACCTGCAGAAACTTATTTTGGGGAAGACAAAAGATTAACTTATACCAATTTATTTTCTAACGAGGACCAACACGCATAGTGGGATTTCCCCCATTTTTAAATTATTTACATAATACTTTTTATTATCTAAATTTCCTCTATTAATTCAAACACGTAAATCTTAAAAAGGATACAACACTACCTGAACTTTCCAGTGCATAATCTACTTTACCCGTCTTATCCGCATCATACGTATCCAATGCATCAGTGATCATTCTTTTTATCATCGTAAAATCGGATTCCGAAAGTCCGAGAACAGAACTTAATTTAGTTTCCTGAAAAAACTCAAGCTTTCACGAACAATTTCAAAAATAAAACTTCAAAGAGATAACTACGTTCCTGAGTATGATTTTGTTTTGAGATATTAGCGTATCCCACAACAGGTTGAATTCCTTCAGTCATTTCTCATTCTACAGATCTTGATTCGATCTTCGTCCGTAATTTACATTCTGTGCTATAGCTGATTTTAATTCTGCATTTGGTTTCTTAAGAAACTCATAATTCCCATATTTTTATCAAGAACTTTTACTTCCGAATTGGATTTAAACTCGCTACAAACTTACGGAAACGGTATCACTTTTTTCAGCTACGTGACTTGCAAAAAGAGCAACAACTCGATTCTCCACTGCTTTCATAATTTCCAAACGAAATGCTTCTCGCTCCTCAAGCGATGCTTTTTCGAAACGGTTTAAACTGAATGAAAGTTCCTGAAACTGTTTGATATATGCATTTCTATTTGAATGAAAACATATACATGTTATACATATACAAAGAAAATCGTAAAATTGCAAAATGAACAAACTGAACTCAGAAATGACAAGCAAACGAATAAGTAATAATATCGACAGTGCCAACCTTATCAAGGTCATCCTTAATTTTCTTATTCAATTCAGTTTTCAATACGTTCAAATCATCACTTTGTTTTATATCCCGAGACATTATTGAATGAGCGAATTGTGCAATTTTGGCTTTCTTCTCTCGACGAAGCTAAATCAAATCCCATTAATTAGTGCAGTTTTCAGTACGTTCGAGTCATATCAATGTAACTGAATAAGAAAAACAACAGCATTAACAGAATGTCAAATTTATAAAAGTGTCAACTGTGTATAACAACTAATTGTGTTATTGGCACTTAGTACAATGAAACACATGATAACTGTAATAGTTCTAACAAGGATCAAGCCACGTCGCACATTTCAGGATAGTAAGATATTTTTTAACTCACTAATAAAGTAATCAGTAAAGAACCATCATAAAGATAAATAGCTGATTTGACACTAAAATTTCAGTTCAAAATTGAAAAAATACTTCATCAAACTGAATGCGCAAATCTCCAACTGCAGATGAAAGTTCCGATAGTTCCTGAAATGAAAACAAAATAAGTTCGAAAAAGCATTTATACAAAAAATCACAGGATGCTAATGAAGGGTCTTAACCCGTCCATAGAAGGAATACAAAACTACGCCATCATTTGAGAGCATTCCCAAAAGATAACTTCCATTTTTCTGTAGTAAATGCAGTTCAAATTAAATACATGCAGCATATAAAAAAGATTACACTAACATTGGACAAAGCTGACCACCTCACATTAGGTTGTTCGGAAGTGCGGATTATTTTTTGGGCAATTTCATTCTCGATTTTTTCTGATAGAGTGTCCAGTCGTCCCATCAAACGTCTTTCAATGGAAAATAAACGCTGAAACAGGAACTGAAGACTAAAAATTTCAGTCCCGTACAGTCAACGAAAATTTTGTGCGCAACTTAATATCTAATCAAACAAGCAAGTATATTTTGCAAGATTTTCCTAAAAACTTCATATAGAATGTTTTACATTTTTAAATAATTGGAACCCAAAAAGTACCGTGAAACTAAACTTCTCGTTAGCAAACGCTTCAGATTCAATACCGCATCCAGTACCCAAATTTCGCAAGTACTCAATCTTCTTGGGCATAAAGCAGAAAAGAAAATGTATAAGCAAATATGAATAAAAAACAAAATAAGTACAACAGCTCACCTTTCTCAATTCTTCATCATCTGATTTTCTCAAGTTAGTCATATAGTTTAGAAAATCTTGATTATTTTTGTGCTGGGACGATTCATCATTGACTAGTAATGATTCTTTTAATCTGGAATTTATATTAATTTTACTAAAAGTTGATAAAATCAGTGAAACACTGAAAAACAAAACGGGATCTGGCGGATTACAAGGATCAAACTTTGTTAATGCTTGTTGTCTTTATAGAACACATGCCAGAACAAACTGGTTTGGTGAAAGATGCAGTTTGATTTCATTTCTTAAATCTATAATACTTTTTTTCATAAATTACTAAAGCAAGAAATTTTACTGAATTCCAAATCTAGAGAAAAAAACAGTACCTCTTATCTGGAGACACAGCAGGACCTTTTTCGACGATTTTTAATGCTTTATGTATGTTTTTGTAACGATCTTCCTCTACTTCTCGTTCTCGACGCAACTGCAACACTTTCAATTCCAATAGTTCCTGCAAACTGAATTGTTGAAATGTAATATTAAGTCATATCACAAATTATCCTAAGACAATTCTTCTTGCTGAATTCATTTTTGTTTTTTAAAAATTAACATACCCCAGTTTGAAAAGATACCTTTTCATGTCTTAGACGTTCCAAAATCCATTGAGCTTGTTGCTGATTAAAACCCTCTGAATTAATTATACCTTTCTGCAAAAAAAAATCGTTAAACTTAAAAATTTAGTGCTAAAAGAGAATACATTTATAGAAAAAGGAACTAAAATATGAAATTCATAGTTATTCAGGCTTAAGATCGACTCAATTTTTAAAACTTGGAATAAAAAATTTCACAGTGCAAAAATTTACTGAAAAGCTAAAAAAAATTGAAGATTCATAATACTAAAAAAACCGAATTTATAGCCTTCTCGTTCACAAACGGCATAAATTGGGTGATTGTTGAAATAAAGTGTGATGGTAACGCCAATAAAATTTGTATTGCAGAGCTTATTAATTTCCATACAAACAAGATCATTTCCACAATGTTTTCAGAAATAAGTCCAACTGGAAAACTAAGAGAATTTAAGAAAAACGGTATATTGTGAGTATTCATGTAAGAAAATTAGTATCACATTAATATAGTGCAAGTGAGGTGCAGTTACGAACCAAATGAAGTTTTCCCAAAACGAAACTAGTTGCTTTACTTGACTCTGCTTTCGACAATGAGTCAGCTAGTAAATGTTTTTATAACATCAAATTTCTGCACGGAAATAAAAAGCACAAGAAAAAAAAAGCAAGAAACGATATAATAAACCGAAGTGATAAAGGTTTTGGAATAAGCATAAGGAAAGCCTTGTACTTTCTTCTACAATTTCTTGTAAGTAGAAATGGGTGAAAATATTGAAATTAGTAATTGATTTCAGTAAAAAAACTTTCTTTGGACTACAAAAGAAATATATAAATAATAAAGAAAAATAACTTTGAATCCATTCCGAAACAGCGGACATCCGTTGGATGATGCCACACACACTGGAACCTAATATACTGACCCTTTCGAAGAAATGAACGATTGCCAGCTCTCCTGAAATGGTTTTACAAAGTGACGAAAACGTATATTACCAGACTGAGTGAAGAAATTGCGATTTAAAAGTAATTTGCTAGACTAAAAGCAAAACTTACCAAAACTATATAGCTCCCTCGGAATTCTACATAAAAAATTATAACTGCATCTATTAGCCATGGCTTTTGTACCCACTGATTGACCTGAAAAGAAAATTTTGTTTAGCTTAAAGATAACGTTCGGAAGAACTCTGCTGAGTCATGGATTTTTAGAATAACATCCAGTCTATCGATTAACGAATTGAATAGCTGTATAAGTGTGAATACGAGAATACGATGTTAACCAAGCATTTAGACCAAATGCCACTATCAAAACACTGAATTACAGCTACCAAAAATGAAAGAAAGGTCAAAAGATGAATAGATATTTGACCCCGTTGGGACTAACAATATCGCGTAGAAGGGAAGAACGTAAAATCATAAATTTGAGAAAAAAATGTCCAACCAGCCATATAAACATATTTCGGTAACTGGACAAGTTTTTCGAGAGATTCCCGTGGATGCACCATTGCGCCATATAGCTTTCCAGGATATAGTAAGAGATCATACAAGAAATGGAATACAACAGATAGTAAATACGAAACATTTCTGAATACCAAATTTAGGCCACGTTCTATTTTCTGCTTCCATCCTGTTATTAGAATATATGACATATACCATTAAAATTCCCTGATAGTATATTTCATAATGTTAATACTTTTTTTGTTTGTTTATAAAACTGTGGTTCTAAAATTGTAAAATATTGAAAAATTTTTCAGATAATGGGGTCATAACTCCATTTCATTATAAGTTGGGTTCTTATAAATTTCTAGAATCAAAATTACCACTAAAAGAATTTTGTTGGATTTGGTCAAACGGCTCCGCTACACCTATCATTAGATCACCTCGGGCATCATGTCCTAAAATAACATCGTGTATAGTATACATAAACATCAAAAGAAAAAAGAATTACTGGTAATCTGATTATTAAGTTTTTAAATCTGAGATTCCAGAACTTAGACTTTGCCAGATGCTGGTATCATGTACTTCATAGCATGCATCGCTGATATGCAGATTGTCAACTATTTTTATTCTAAGGTTGAATGCCATAGGCACAATAAAATCAAAATGACTCATTGCCGGAAAGATTATTGTGAATTTTATCATACAATTCCATTAGTACATAAAAACAAACAATTTCCTCAAAGAAAAAAATTTGGAATTGCACTTACCTTTGTGAAACATAATGAGCAGTAACAGTAAGATAAGCAAGGGAAATAACCATTTCCAGAATGCCGAAGAGCACTTTACTGAACCTCGAGTCGGAAGAAGCTGACTAAAAAAAAATCGTTAAGATTATGAAATTGATAAAATCAATGGGGTGATGCCCGCTAATGATTTGTGAACATATTCAAAGAGATTTTAAAAAAAGTGTAAAATAAAAATTAAAAAATTATATAAAATCTCACCAATATTCATAATTGAATAAAGGAAAAGAGAAGCGCTCGAAATACACAACATACAGCGGTTATACCTTTTATTGAATGCAACTTTATCAATCACTTTTTGTCGACCTTTAGCAGTTGGAGAATCGAGATCGGTGGTTAATCCTTTCCTTTTAACCGGTCTTACTTCTTCGTAACCGACAAGCAGTGCGGCTCTTGGTCCAAATCTATATAAATATATTTGACCAAATGGTTTGAACAACATTTCAATTTATTTTCCCGGTATTTCCCTTTATTAAAAAAGAGCTTATAATGCAGAAAATTTTCCAGATGTACAAGTAAATGAGGAGTTTATAGAAATTGAAAAGTACGAAAATTAGTCTCGATTTTCACCATGTTATATCTTGTGATGTCGGTCTTCCAATCTGTATGCCCCTTACTTATTTTCAAATAATAGTAGGAAGAAGTTACAAAAAAACCTTTAAGTATTTGTAAAATCTCTACCAACAAGAAAGCTACTACATATAAATAAAATAGCTTAAGGTTATAGAGATTAGACAGATTGACCTAAAGTTCCGCTCCCCGAAAATGGTGGAAATTCATTACATCGCCTAAATGTTAGCATAACTTTATCCTGCATCCTACATATGCGACGTGTCGGGTTGCTCAAGAAACATTACATATTAGCCAGCGCATAAGCTGCGCGCTTTCGAACACTTTCGGCGATATAGAATGGCAATAACTGCAAGGAGACGAAGAAAAAAATGAAACCAGTTGCGCATGAGTACAAATGATCGATCAAAAAATGAAAGATCTGAAAGGATAAGTAATGTCCATGTCGTGGTGATGTCCCGACAGCCTGTTGTTGCAGGGATCTAAAATTAAAGTATAAAAAATTAAAAGAAAAGTTTCATCTGAATTTTCTGCATTATTCAATATCATTTACCAATTCTGAACAAAAAAAAAAAGTAGTTATAACGGTGGAAGTATCAGTTTTTCACAGCAGCAACGGATAAAGTTATATAAGTTGAAAGTTTCGCAAATTTATACAAGTTTAAAACAACTTGGAATTTATATCCGCAAATCATTCCGATTAAAGGACGTAGGAAACAACTTACTGGTTCGATCGATTTGGACCGAGAAGTCGACTAATAATACTGGAGAACATGGTAAGCGGTAGGAAGACTATTTTTCTTATCAGAAAGAAGAAAGTGAGGAAACATGATGTGGTAATTTCAGACAAAAAGTTTGCAAGACGATTAGTATATGGTAATGTCCCTTCAAGTGATAGATTCTTGTATACGATACGACTGCGGAGATCATAAGTTGAATGACTGAAATAGATGAGGAAATACAGGGAAAGTATCAGGAAATATTGTTCTCGTGGTGTTAAAGAAACTGGATTAAGTAATAATATCATGTATTGCAATAAAAATTCTGTTCACAATAGGAATACATACAATCGTAAACGACAAATCTGATGTTGGTTCGAAAATTTTCGACTCAATTATTCTAGATCAAAGTTTGGAAATTTTACTTACCCAGTCACATCACAAGAATGGAAAGATGACCAAAGACAAGGGCTTTGCCCTTGTCAAGTTTAAGTAAACACAATCCTATTAAAACAAATCCTCCAAATTACAACCTTCCTAACATGCACCTAGATTTAAAATTGCTGAATCTTCAAAACTCCGTCAAAAATGAGCAGTAATATGGTAATTTGTAAGCAAACAAACCTAAAATGACGCAAAATCCAAATAATTTTTTCAGTGGTAAATTCGAAAGTTTTTACTGGTGAGAGCACTGCCATAAATGTAAGGTAAAATAATTTGAAGAACAGTGATTCCACAAATCCTCTGGACAATTTCACATTAGGAACTGACTGCTTGTTGACTTCTGGTCCACGATCTTCCGAGTATTCGTAACTGCTAGTTCTTACACGTCGTTGCACATTACGAGTTAAGCCGTATCTAAAATACTGTTTTTTTCTGAATAAGTTGGCAATTGTAAACTAAAATTATAGGTTAACAACCTGTATGAAGCAGTTAATAGATTTAATTCAAGTTAAATCCTTTCAAAAAAGATATTTGAAACTCAGAACCGCCTGCACTCTTGTAATATTAAGAGTAATAAAGTGCATTTCAATTTAAATTCATAAAAACTTAAATCTTCAAAAGTTCAGAAAGACTAGGAATAATAACTTCCAGTGTAAATGATTAGCAAAAATAACATACACTGGGTTGAATGAAGAATACCCATGCCATTTATGTTCATCATAATCATCATTGTGATCCAAATTCCTCCGTCTTCGTCTGGCTCCACTTCTATTTATTAAAAAAGTGATTAAGGGTAAAAAACTGAAATTTTTATAAAGAAATCCTTTGTAAGATCACTGTTCAGCTAAACGCATTCAATACTGCAAATATATAGTTCTAAAATTGAGTTTGAAACAAAAGAATATAGGATAGCTTGATATAGAGTTGCATTTCAAAAATAAAGTGGCATTGTACGGTACTCAAAAGACTCGATTTTTGCCATATTAATTTCTAACTTTGATGGCATTTTATCTCAAGCATAATGTGATAGATTTCTGGTCTACAAATTTTATTCATATAAATCCCCAGTTTAATTAAAGTAATTCATATGATACCGTGAGCAAAATATCATGTGAATTCGGCAAAAAATTCATTTGCAAGTCCGTCAGGCAAAAAAGAGTTCTACCAGAAAGGAATAAACTTACTGGTCTTCACCTTCAGAGAGATAGCCAAGTGTTATCATGTTGGTAAATGATTGTTTTAGCCTATTAGCTAAAGAATTAAGTGATGTCATTTGACTATGCCACACTGTTTCTCGGCTTCGCATTGGAGATGGCTAGAATTCATTTTCTTGCTGAGAAATTCAAAATTCCTTTTCATCCGAATTTCACAAAAAACTGTGACTAATTTATTGTTTTAAATTAATATTAAAATGAAAATAGACTTAATAACACGGATTTAACTAGTTTTTAAATCACTAATAACTAGTCACTGCAAATTAGAAAAATTAACGAAACATTATAAAGCTGTAAGAAGTGCTCCATGTTTTCCATGGATGCAAAACGATGAAGAATTTTCAAGTGTTTTAAACGTGATACAGAGAAAATTGAAACGTGCAACAAACCTAGATCACTTACCAAATTATTTTAGCCAAGTAGTTTAGCACTGCTGTTGAAGAGCAAATAAATCTGCATAAAGCTAACTAACCATTACCTCGTCTTAAATTATTACATTTAATGAGAAAAAATCAGTAGAAACTAACCCCCCTTGATTTCTCGAATTCTCTTGGACTCTGCTTGTGTTGTTCAAGACCTTAAATATATTTAACATTTCAAATAATTTATATCATAGAACTATTGTAAAAGGAAAAAGAAAATTATATGTAAAATCTTGCAACAGAAACAAAATGAAAACAATACCTAAAGGCTTCTATAAAACAGTGACTTGAAGGAATCAATTCGGAATTTCTAATCAAATACACCAAAAATTAGCAAAATAAAGCGTTAAACTTTTTGACTTTTTGAAAACGTATAGTGCGCAAATATAATAGTCCAAAAGAACTAATTTCTTCTGGAAATCATTTTCATCGTAAATTTCATCAACTTACAGGGTGTTGATTCCAAATGTAATCGTCGCGTAACTGCGAAGTGTTCCGGATTTGGAAATATTTCATTAATGATATACCATAACCCTGAAATATTCAAAATCTTCCAGATTTAAATATATAGAATTAACATAGGGAAATGACCTATAATCACGAATTTACCCACTGTTTGGAAGAAAAAGTTCAAATTTCTGCAAATTTCACACTTTCCAATTCACAAGGGAAATTCAATTAGAGCACCCTCTTGTCTATCTTTAAGAATATGGGGAGAAGAGATAAGTGAGAGGTTAGAGCGCAAAAAAAAAAAAGCAAGGAAATTACTAACAACGAACGATGAAATGTAAAATAGTGATAGCAGTATTAAAAATCATTGCCAGAGGCCTTGGCATCAGCTCATTCACAAAGTCACACGTACAAAAGTACATGTAGTAAAGTAAACCAGCTGAAAATAATATTAGTATAAACAGACATTGCGATATAGTAAATAAAGCCAACCTTTAAATTATAAAATTCGGAAAGTTTTCATGTGCTTCTCTAATGAATGGGAAATAATGAAAGAAAATACTTCTAACTTCCTATGTTCTACTCGAAAGCTGCAATTTTTATTTTATGCTAATGAATCCGGATAATTATGAAAGTAACCGGTGCAGAATCTCAACCATATAATGACTCACCTTTTCGTGCTTTTTCAAATGCCCACTTACGCCTGTAATAATTCAAAGGCAATCTAGACATGCGAGGAGTTTCATAATCATCTGAACCATTCAGCCGGTAGCTTTTGCTTAAAAAGAAATGCATAACAGTTTTTTTTGCAAATTCGCAGAAAAAAATCGCTTTATAACGAGTAATATTTATTCCCATCATTTTGCGATTCTTGTCATCCCAGAAGATCAATATTTAAAAACTAGCTTGTACAGCTAAATTGAAGACAGCTCTCCATTTGATCTGACACAAACATCAAATAAATAAAATTCTCGTATGATTAATAAGACATGCATAAACATTTGGTATAATTAATCGAGGGTAAAACTGAAAGAAGGAAAAAATAACTTACGACGTCACATAGGTATAGTCTGTACGATAGGTGCTGAAAAAAAAACATTAGGAAGAATAATGGCAAGTTCTGCAAGTGGAATTACAGGTCACATTTATCAGAATGAAAGGTCAAAAAGTTGTCCTTCTAAGCATTCACAAACCCCCCCCCCCTCCTATCCCCATAGCTGTTATTCAAAAAAAAGTGCTCGTAACAAACGAATTTATCATGATATGAGAGTAACAGGAAACTTGCAGAACTTGATGATCCATTAAATACTCGAACCTGATCATCCATTAAATACTCCAAGACTAGTTGATGAAATTAAGCAGTCATGAAGGAAAAACTATAAAATCTGCTTTTACCAAAGCTAATTTTCAACGCAGTGGAAAGGAAGAAATTGACTTACTCGTCTAAATCAAGCAATCGATCAAGATCAGACTGTGTCAAATTTGAATTACCGATAGTTGGTTCTCTAAAATTCGTTACCTTTATATATAAATTTTAGCAATTCTCTCAAGTTACAATTTTAGATTTATGCTGTTATCATCTCACCTCTCAAAAATTCCCATTTTTCTTGCTGATATATACACGAACCGTTTGCTGAATTTTACTGAATAACTGATTGACTGAATTGACTGTGCTGAAAGAAGAATGCTGATTAAAACCTGAGGAATGCTTATTAGAAATCGGTAACGTCACGAGGTAATGAACTCGACAGTAACTTGGAAAGAAAAAGAACAAAAAAAGAAAAAAAAACAAATGAACACACGAACATATGTTTGTATCCTCTTACGCAAAAACAAATATGCTCGGAGGGACGAGATTTCTTCATGCAAAGAAATACATTAAGAAATGATGCTCAATTAGCAAATCGTAATTCTTGTAAAAAGTGAGTTCCTTCAAGTGTTTAAATATTTTCGCCTCCTTCAAAAAAAAGCACTATTCAAAAGTAATTAATTACGAGCTTTGCTCACCAATTTATTATATGTTAATTATCGAAGTCTGGGCGCTGGACTAGTGTAAAGCCAATTCCATCTCAACGTGATACCAGAAATATTACCAAAGAAGTAATATATAGGAAACATTGACAGATTTTAGCGAATGAAGCAAAACATTTTTGGACTACTCGACTTTCGTCATATAGTTATGATGAAAAAAGATTTTAAGAGAAAGATGCAAAATTGTGGGATAATTTCGATACAGTAGCGATATCCGACTACAAGAGAACAATAACTTCTGCAATCATGAAATGCACCGGATGATCAACAAATGCATATGTGTGCCAATGAGTTTAAAATTCCGATAATTGCCCTTTCAAGAAGTTGTAGACCATTCGGGAAGTATGAATAATCTAAAGCATTAGACGAAAGAATGAATAAATCTAAAACAAGTAGTATTAACACACGCGCAAGATTGACATTTTCTTGGAACATCTCAAAGGCGGTAAAATACGGCACGGTTTGGCAACTCAAGCTTTTAGCTAGAAGCAGTGCATTTTACGATGCTACCGGTAAAGGTAGAATGGAAATGTTGGAAATGAGGTCATGATGTTAATATGGGATACGAGATTGGTCCCGGGAGCCAGTCATTTGGCACTCAGAGCAGGTGGAATGATGGAATATGTGATGGAGAAATACACACCTAACCTCAGAAGAAACGTCAATTATCGACTGATTGGACCAGTTTTTGAATGACATTATCAATGAGATGAATAATAGGAAAGCAGATAGTAAATGTGTTGCAGCCATGTGAACAACAGCCAATGAATGCTTAAGGTTTCTTTGGGTGATATTGTCTGCAAGCTAGCCTTTCTTACTTTCTCTTGCTCTCCCTTCCGAATTCCGTGAAAGCAAATGATCGTGAAGATCAACCCTGTAGCTATAGCCTTAGGCAACCTGTAGCTATTTTTACCTGTTATTCATTTCATCACCCATGTAATAGATGACCATAACCTGAATAATACTTGATAGAGAAGTAAAGGAGTGGTAATGTCATTAAGCACCAAAATGATTTCCCTTTACAAAACCTTTTCTTGTTTGAGCTTATCCTCACACGACTGAGCGATATTTCCTGTGGCATTCCCTCAAAACTTCAAATGCGAGTTTATCAGCGCTAGAAAAAATCTCACTTTATCAGTATTTATATTAATATTTCCATTATCGATTCATCCTTCAGATTTGTTTAGCAACAAAGTGAATATCCTGGAACAGTAGACGACATTTCACAGATCAGTACAGCTAGATCTTGGTAAATGAATAAGTTTCTGTAGCCAAGTCCAGTAAAAGCTAAGCTTATGCATGTTACTCAGCTTGTAATTCGAATCCTGAAAATCCAAACAAAACCGAATTACAAAAGATAGGCACATAATTTTTAAAAGTTACAACGTTGAATTTATGAGAAAGCACATGCTTGCAACCGAAAAGTCGTTCAGCCTGCTTCCAGATTCGAATTTGAGTGCTCAAAGTTCCTTTGCTTGAAGTCATTCAGGTTATTTTTTTTAAGCCATAAAAGATATATAGCGAACAGAGTTAGGATGAGATTCATCATCGATCAATTTCAAATAGTCAAATTTAACTCCTTATTTAATTAAGCTTCTCAAATTTTCAATTAAATTTAGTCTTCTTGAAATGACAGGTATGATTGGTAGCACAGTGTAACATAACTTTGTGGCATCACATTTCACAGGAAACATCTAGTGGGGTAATCAAGAAAAGTAATAAATGTATTTGTAAAATTTTTTCGAATTTTCCCTCTTATTTTACATGTAACCTTTTGTACGTCGTAAGACATTTTTTTAATATTTCTTTTATATGTGATATTCGAAACAGTAATACGTAATCACCTCTTCAACCAAAGATATGTACCATAGACGACATTGAAAATAAATAAATAAATAAATAAATAAATAAATAAATAAATATATATATATATATATATATATGTATAAATTTATCTGTAGATTTTATATTTATAAATGTACATCTGTAAATTTTGAAACAAAACTTCATAAAAATATCCCAAATCAAAGCATGATTTGTTGCTTAGCGAGAAACTTTGCCGGGAATGTCATGGGATGACAAGAAAATTACAAACCATGGTGGAGAGTTCCACGTCTCTCCTGCTCTTTCTCTACTGCATTGAACAAAGCATTTATATTTCCAGCACCAAAACCCTGAAAGGTTTGTTTTAAAATGATTAAAACACAATGTCCTTTATTTTTCAATGACCGAATAATTTGGCAATTGCTCGATTTTTTGTGGATCAACCTCAAACAAGTATACTTGACTTGGTTTGCATCTATTCTTTTTATAAGCGATATCATCTTATGGGTACAACACCGATTCTTGCTGTATTGATCATCCTAACTGTCTCAATCAGTATTGAAAAAGTTTTTGTAACACCGTTCTAAGCACTATTTTCAATCAAGGTAGTCCGATTGCGCTTAGTGCAAGGTTTCAATCTTTGGCAAGCTCCATGCAGCAGTGAGAATCTTCTTTCTAATAGCTATATAAGTTTGCATTTCATTCAACTAGATTTTATTAATACTTAGCTTCTCAGTTTATGACATTTGATAATAATTGTGAACTGAAAATATCTTTGTTGTTAACTTGAAGGTACGAAAATAAATTCGGTTTTTAAAATAAGCTTTATGCTCCCGTTCTAATTCCTGTTTTTAGCAGATCTGTATTGCCTGGTGCGCTTGCATCCTTTGTCTCTCTACAGTTTCGCTCTATTGACACCAGCACACACTCAAAGACTTTCGTCTCGGCAGCCGATCCTGGGACACATTTTACAATGATTTTAACTGCTTCAAGCAGGAAAGTAAAGTCATTTCAACTTACGGAATAATTATTTCGTTGAATTACTTCGAAAAAAAGGGTAGGTCGATCCTGGACAGGCTGGGTGAACATCTGTAGCAAATATCCATGATCATCAAAGTCCATCAGAATTCGGAGCTCTTTGATCTGGAATGAAATTTTTATAATTAATAACACTGGCTTGTTGCAAAATCGTTAGGAAAAAACAACCGATATTCTTTCACAAAAATTCACAAACTTTTTCAAAGCTTTCCAGCAAATTCACTGGGGAAATGGCAAGACGCGCTTCAAGATCGGTATAGTATTCGTCGGGAATAGGAATGAATTCGACACCTCTTTGTTTCATTCGTTCCGCCGTTTGAATAATATCGTCAACCAAGAATGCTATATGTTGGACACCAGCACCTCCATTGTAATCCAGAAATTCCTTAATATAAGAAACCAGTTTTGGAAAATTTGGGAAATGGAAATTAACAGCAATGAGCTTATCTGCATTGTGCTAAACGTGAACTATCAAGATTATTGACATGCTAACCTTCAAATTACAACTGTAATTTAACAATAGATTATTAGAAATTTTTTTCGGGCCAACCTGTATTTGGCTTCGCACTCCTACAGCTCTCGGAATTGGTTCAGCGAAGCCTATCTGTATTGATTTCGATTTATTCGCTATCAATACGATTTTCATACCAGAACGACTCGAACTGAATATCGATTCATCAGCAGACCTAAAAGAATAAAAAAATTTTTGTTTGGAAAAATTGTAATGAGTGAATGTATAGCAAGAATATGCATAAAGGAAACACAATTATTTTTCTATCCAGTTCTCCTTTCGCAAGTGGTTGAATTGCAGAAATGCATACAGAGTACAAATGAAGCTAAAAACAGAATCTAACCTTTTCGAAACCGTTAGGTTTTGAAATTTTGATATATATTCATATTTTTTTCCAGAATTTTTAAAATGGGATTCAGGCCAATCAAATTAGTCGATTCTGCTTCAGATTCCCACCTATTTCAAAAACTTTCCACGATGGGTAGGAACTGCAGAAAATTTCTTTAGGAACGAACCATATTTCTTCAAAATCAAATATTTGATGATAGTAACGCAAAGCGGGTTTCACAAAATCTATTGGATAATTGATTACGAGATGATCTACCGAAACGATCGATATTTCTTCCCTAAAAAACTAATTTCTTAACAATATATCCAAACGTGGGACTATTTCGTTACCTTTCATACTTTTAGCTATTCATTTATTCACCGGTTTTTGAAGTATTTGCAGTTAGAATTACTGATCTTTATCTCTAACTACAGATTCTCTAAAATATTTATGATCGATAAACAGGACAGAATATCCATGTATTCTCCTCCATTTTTGTACAATTCAGAAGAAATCTCACACTGATTTCAGAATATCGTTGCTACAATCGTATTGTTCATAGTTTGGCAAAAAAAACCCTCGATATGTTTTTGAATCCAACAGACTATGACAGACGTCACATTCCTGAAATCAGCCAAATATCATGTTTTTCACAATTTAATGTAAAGGGTGCAACAATGAATTCTTCGGAAGTGATGTATTTCTCAGTCAATTTCAGCAAACCGAAAAGTTTTCTAGAAAGAAATTCTTGCACATACCGGTGAACTAATCACAGCGGTTTTTACGAAACCATCATCATCAGCAACAATTTCAATCGGCTTCACCAGAAATCCACCTTCTTCAACTATGCGCTGCAATTTAAATCATAGAGGAATTTTAAATTTGAATCTTCAAGACCTTTCAATAAAATTTGAAAGAAAAATCTTAAATTCAAATCATTTACATTTTTCTCTCTAGAAGTATTAAATTGCCAAATTCCTGAAAGCTCTCAGTTATCGTTTCCCGTATTATTGAAACGATATTGCAACAAACTAGATGATAATGCACAACAAGTAAGTTATAAAAACAACCTTAACAGCAGCACTTATATCATTAGTAAGAAATGACACATCTCTAACGGAATCGCCATGGAGAGTCAAATGTTCCATGAAATCTTTATCCTGAAGTTTGCACGTCGTAAAGATGAAAACGATCTGAAAAGGCTTCCATTTAAATCTAATAAACTCCATACAAACAAAGATCACTATTTTTGATTATATTGTCGTACTACCTGATAACTTATCTAGTATGTCATCGATTTGCATTAGAAAATGTCATCCTCCCAGGGTCATCTTTTCCCATCATATTCCTTATCTCAGAAATGGTAATTATATCAAGCTTACATTTCCATTCCGGATGGCTATACTCCTCCACCGAGCATTTTCTTTCTTGGCAAATCGTTGAAAACCAAAACTGATGCAGTACCAATAGGAACTCTAAAATATTTTTAGTCCGCAACATCATTGATGAAGGATAATCGGGATAATACTACGTATTGATTTTATTCAAATGTTATTAAACAGTTAAAATTCAATAAACGTTTCATTTCTTGAGACTTCGTAGAAAAAAAAAAAGCAGATAGAGGTTACGAGAAGTTGTAATTCATGGGAAATTCGACCTGCAAAGCATTAGAAACATAGAATTCAACATGATGAATTGACAAAGGCAACCCTTTCAGGGCAGTCGGCCCGAGCATCTTGCCACCTTTTTAATACCTAAAACAAAATCACAGTGATCACTGCGAAGAGTAATTAAGATTTCAGAAGGGAAAAAACCGAGTGACCATTCGAATTCTGTAATGAATTTTACTAAGGCTTCCTTCTCCCTACTGCATTCTTGATAAATCCCATACTCTTCATTAGTATATTATTGAATGAAATGAATCTTCTCTACAACATTTGTTCCACGTTGACTATTTCCTTACGAGACGCATTGATTGGATAATTAACTCTTCCAGTTTTATACCACAAACCGGTAGAAAAACGTCACTTGTCATATAGAAATTTGATAAATTACTATAACAATCAAAGCCATCGCAGTCAATTCGTAGTGCTAGTCGTAGCATATTTCTTTTGCACTGCTTTTGCTTTTTTCCCACAATTTCCAATCGCAGTTTTTTTGAAGCCATATGACAATGCGATTATTTATCAGTGTATTTCAAACAAGTTTTTCACCACCAACAAGATACGCACAGAATCTTTATGAGTTTAGAACTTCTCAGTGGAACGCATTATGATTATTTCCATATGTTTCAAAAGAAACACAAGAAACAAATGAGAGGGTTCCATCAAATGATGAAAATTAGCATGAAATATCCACAGAAAAAAACATATCCAATGTAAATGAAGACAGAAGAATCGCAAAAGGAATCCCACCGAGATGAGGAACTAAAATATATCATTTTTTAGGTGTTTGAATATGAAACAGTAGGAAGTGACGAAAAAAGTAAACACTAGTGGTTAATCCATGTGACTAAATAACCTTTTTCGCGCTTTCACCTCCATTATTCTTCTGCAATCGATATAAAAAGAAACTTCACTTCTGGAGAAGGTCTATTCCATTAAAATCATGAAATCCAAAAAGAAGTGCTAGCAATCCTTTACTTGATTGAAAAAACATTACATTGAAGAAACGAAGGAACAACAAATATTATGAGATAAATGAATCTGAAACAAGAGAATACTGCATCCGTTGAGGTGGTAGCTGGAAATCGAGCCAATCTGATGCATGATTGGGTAACAATCCCATACTGTGTAACTTGTACAGAGCCATTGCTACTGCTATCATATTCCCAAGCACGAAAACCAATTTATGCAGCAAAAGTGAGCCCATATGTTCATCCTAAAAACTTATTTCATATTATTTCAAACAAAATAAGACGAATTTTAAATCCTTGTTGAAAACAAAATTTTGAGCATCAACCGATGATTGACTGTCACCAAAATTGACATAATGTTCGCAATGCAAACATTACATGATGTTTCAGGAATTATGCGCCGATTAGCATGTCCATTTTTTTCATTGCACGTCGATTTAAACTAGTTTCAAATTTTCGAAGTATTTCTGTAGTAAAAAATATTTCTATTTCTAAAGCAAACTGTCTCCTCAGATTCGAAGTTACATATCAGATGTACACGAAAGCAAAAGAAACTATTTACGCCTTTGAAAAGAGACGATACGGTTTTGCAGTTAGACACGCAATTTATAAAAGTTCAAGATGGAATATCAGAAAAGCCTATTTACTACAACAAATAATAAACGTCTCTATTTGAACGTTTCCTCGAAAACTATTTTCACTAGAAAAATAAACTAACGATATGGCTTGCACCTGTAATAAAAATATTTTTCAAAGAATTGTGCCTACTTATTATAGTTTGATTATTCAATTTAAAAAATACAAATGTCAGTTAGCTAACAAAGTAACAGCAAAAGTCACTAATCCACAAATATGTTTATAATAAAATCAGTAAACACAATAAGCAACCACTTTTGAATAATAAAACAACCTGCAAAGGTTTAAATGCCGGATTAACGCTCATCAATGCCTTAACAGGACGCCAAGCCATCATCGCGATCATCATAATAGGAAATATACTGATTGTATTGCCGGACATATACATCATGAAAAGATTCATCGGTAAGCTCTTGATAGGTTGCAATGCCATGTCCCAGGCACGTTTCTTCATCAAATGATGCGTTTGTTCACTGTCTCCAGTTTGTTCTATCTCAAAATTCTCAACCTCTGAATAGTTCTTTCAGCTACTATGGGAACTGCACCAACCTTTTATTGAATGGTATGTTTTGAAATAAAATAATAAGAGCGTAGAAAAAGAAATCATAAAAAGGCAAAAAATCTTTTCGGAAAAAGATTATGAACAACCTGCTGAACAGTAATTCCAGCTTGTGAATAACCAGGCGGATTGAACGACGAATCCAAAGCACGACTCACATTCCGTGTTCCGGCACTTGTCAAGTCCAGTCTCCACTTCGCCAAAGACATTCGACTTTTTACCAAGCGCTTCAATCAAACAACTTGAACTGATCATAAATTTGCTAACAATGCCGTTTATTGCGCTGAGCAGCAAATAACTAATGTATCAATGAAATGTATGTAAATTTTACATGACTTTGAACTATATAGACCCAACGAAGAACTGTATGGATATTTTTATATTACATGATACAAGTATTGAGGAAATTCAATTAAAAAGCACAATGAACCATCAGCGCGTTTGTAATCGTAAAAATTTATGGTAATGAAGATCGGAAAACCACAATTATATTTCTCACTGTGCTTATTATGAGATTTCCTAATTTATTATCTTGTCTTCCATTTATATGACAGGAAAGAAAATTTAACAAGCATTCATAGCGTAATAATATGGTTATAATGAAAAGCTCTGTTGAAATGCGAAATGAAGCCCTACATCCCGAACTATATCGACTGTTTGAAATGTCGAGCTTTGCAATTTAATAGCAAACAAACATTACTTGGTGATAACTACGAAATTGAAAATGCACATAAAAATAATATCCAGTTGAAATTTTTGCTGAAGGTGAAATATAAAAAATTCTAAAATGAAGTGCAAGATGGAAAGATGATATGGCAATAATGTAAAAATGTGCTGCAAGCGTGTTATATGCCAAAAAAATATTTGCAAAGTTAATTTTCAGCAAATATACGTAGTAGCCAATAACATAAGACATTATCCTGACGAAAATGCAATAAGTCAAACAAATGTACCTTTCACTTAAATAGAAATCTATCTACTTTTCACCTAAATAGACTTCTATTTGGTGAAAAGTAAATCTGTTTCATTTTTTTTTACTTCACGTCAAATTTAGGATAAACCAGGAACTAGGCTAAAGTGGTAAACAATCCTGGTGATATGAAAGGTTTCCTATCTGATCCAGAAGAACTCCTGTTCTTGTTTGGTTGTGATTCCTTTATTGCGGACAACAGATCTTCTTGACTTAGTGCATATTTTGCATTTTCAAAATCGAGATCTGAAAACAAATTTCAGACTACTTCGTGAAATCAATTCGTTAAGAAACATCGTTTCAGAAATATGAAGAGAGTGGATATGCAAACATTGCTTATCCAATTCAATTTAAATGTACAATTTATGGACCTTCCATATTTGATCTTGCAACAAAACAATTAGTATAAAACCTAATTCTTTCTATAAAGCGACTACGTGAGGTAAAACTTTATAATCCCATCAACAAATTTTTAAGATTCAATGATTTACCTACCTTTGTCCCCAAGTACTCCATTTATTCGCTTATGAGCAATCAATTGAGCATTTGTTACCAAACCTTTTAGGTCAGCACCCGTCCAGCCATCTGTTTTTCTTGCTATCACTTCGAAATCAGCATTTCCCGAGTTTATACCTCGACAAAGTACTTCCAAAATCGACTTTCGCTCCTCCTAAATATAGATTACTAAAATGATTTAATAATACAATTTCATCTTTTAGTGACTTCTAAATTATTCTTGTCTCCCAAAAAGCGTTGCCTGATAATTTAATTATGAACTGTGAGAATAACGTTATAAGAGTTTCTTTAAGGTATTTTTTGCGAAGTCTTCCATATGCACACACAGACAGCATACTTAAATAAAGTATGCTGTCTTACTGTTAAATACTTACTGTCTCAAATAGAAAGTTGACACTGTTAATGGGAAGCAGAACAGTTAAGTAAATTGGAAACTCTCTAATTAGTCCAATATTTGATTTCAAATACTTCAACGAAAATGTAATTTCCAGAACACTTGAACTACAAAGTGATGTATCAAAAGCGGATTTAACTGAAGCTTTACATCATTTATGCTTGATCATGGGTTACAATGAAAAAATAAACCTTCTTGGGCAATTCACATTTAACAATGTAATCGAAACGACCCGGTCGTAATAAAGAGCTATCAATTAAATCAATTCGATTTGTAGCCGCAATAACATAAACACCTGTAAAAGTCAATGAAACAGCAAACTCTTCACATATAACTGTTAAGCACAACGATGTGGTGGCACAATCAAAAACTAATAGCAGAATTTGGGTATGTGTAATCAAATCAAAAAACCCATAACTCAAGCAAAAAGCAACTACCAAACTAAAGAAATATCACAAAACAGTTGAAAAAACATACCATCTAGTCCTTCAACTCCATCAAGTTCTGTCAGCAATTGATTCACCACACGATCTGTTACCCCTGTATCGTTCTCACCACGTTTTGGACCCAGTGAATCAAATTCATCAAAAAATATCAAACAAGGACTTCTAACACGAGCACTACAATTCAGTTGAGTGAAAACGGGTCGGAAAAACTGACTATTTTTACATAGAGGTATTATGCAATATCTCCATGCAGATTATGATGAAGTAAGGTAAGGTTCTGCTTGATACTTAATTTAGTGAATATTTTTATAAGTTCAAAAAACACTTGTAAAATAACTTTCCAAAAATATTGGAAAATAGCTTCTTGAATTTTTAAAGCTCAGTTTGGTATATAATGATTACCGTAACTCAAACAATAAACCTACCATTCGAAAATTTTTCGGACATTTTCTTCACTTTCACCAATGAATTTTGATAATAATTCCGGTCCCTGAAGAAATTTTTTTACTAATTTGAAATTCGGAAATGTAGAATATTTTAAAGTCATGAATTTGTCGTAGAAAAAAATTTGTATTTTTCAAACAAGGCTTAACAAAACTAAATTGAAGAGAAAAGGGTTGAGTTGTGGGATTAAAACTTTATTGCTATCCTAATTTTTTTCCGACTTCTTATTTCAGCTTGTTGTTTTCAATTTAACTGAACAGTACAAATAACCTACTTGGATAGATATAATGCTGAATTTCCACTGTGCTGCTAAAGTTCTACAAATAAGTGTTTTCCCACATCCGCTTGGTCCATGCAGCAGCACTCCGTGACCAAGACGAACAGAAATATTCCGGTACAACAATGGATACTTAAAAAAATTTGATGGAACAGGCATAATATTATAATTCATTGATCCGTTTATAATAATTTTATCAATTGTAAGTCCAGTCATTACAATACAACACTTCTAAAAAATAAGTCAAGTTTGAACATTTTTTAGCTCCACAATGAGTCATGTTTTTACGCTTGAAGCGAAGATTAGACAAAAATAAAGCTAATACTTGCTTTTGCTGGCCAAATAAAAACTTCAGTAAGGATTTGTTTCACACTATTTAATCCTCCAACATCCTCCCATTGTAATTTAACCATGTCCAATGGTTTCAGTTGTTCGAAGGATACTGCATTTGGTCGAAATTCCCTAATTGCGTGTTGCACATCATCTTCTTCAATTTTTTCATGCCCTATGGCAAAAATAAATTGTGAGGAATTCATGGAAGATCTTCATAGTACATAAATCTTTCAGATCGTTACATTTCTCAGTTTTCAGCAGGTTGTATAAATGATGCAGGAATAAAAAAAAGTGAAACAACAAATTATAAAACATTGAACAGTATCATAACGTAAAGTTTGCGGATGCAAATGGAAAATTATACCTTCCACTCTTGATTCTAAAATAATTCTTCGGGCTAATCTCTTCAAATCGCTAATGGTGCATTTCCCAGTTGCTTCAACAGTACGTTGTAAAATGCATGTTTCTATTTCTTGGCTACAGAATTTCGTCAAGCATTTTGCTCGTTCAATCTGAAAAACAGAAGTTCCGAAATAAATACATTTATTCCTCATGAAAATCCCCGCAAAACGACTTCCAGCGAACAAAGACCCCCTTCACTTGTATTGATATATTCTGCAACAATTATTGGTGAAAAATCACATGAATGAGGAGAGAAAAATTAATATTTCCCCGAAATAAACGCCCACTGAATTACTAATCATCAAATAAAACTTTTCCGACGCAAATCCACAGGAAGTGCTACAAAACTTTCCAAAAATACTCCAACCTATTCATTCGATGTTTTTTTACTCTGAAAAGACTTTTTTTCACTTTGTTTATGAGGATGAAATGATAAAGCTGTATAAAAATGATGATCGACAAGTACTTCTGATATATCCACGCAGAGCAGAAATTATCTTCTATAGCAAAAGCATTTTTCTATTGTTATGGAGAGTAGAGACTCTATTATCAGATAGCAGTTTACCAAAATTCTCAGTCTCAGACACTGCACAAATCCCCTTCGATTTTCTTTTTGAAACTTTTCTTGAACCTTATGCGCAGTAATTCAGATCTCTTGCAAAAAGTACCTAACTAAGCAACCAAGTAATATTTCAACGGCTGCAAAAATGTAGCAGCATGCTGACCTTCGTAAATCTGATGTTCCAGTATTTCTGGCGCCTTTTTGTGACGTAACGCATAAGGTTTCTTCTATTAAATAATAATTGCTGGGAAAAGTTCTTTGCCACTGAGCATTATTATTGCACTTGCCTAATTGTCACTTCATATTACTAAACAATCACAGTTTACAAAACAGAAGCCTTAATCGGGTCTAATTTCATCCTTTCTGTTGTATTTCGCTGCAAAAAACGTCTAAAAAATGATTCAAACATGTAACTCGGCAGATATCAGATCCCATCACTATATTAATTCAAGAGTTTTCCATTATATCTTCGTTTTACAGTTGTATGGACTTTCTCAAGCTGCAATTGCTCTCGAAGAAATTCGTTCTTCTCTATCATCACGCAACAGTTATAAAATAAAGCATATAAATGTAGTAGGACATGATGAAATAGATCAAATTTTGTATAGAGGTTGCAACGATATTCAAATAGTTCAGCAAGCTGCACCACTTTTTAGTTCCTTCAAGTAAATTGAGAGTGTAATGCGAAAATTATAATTGATGAGTTGAACTAAAAATCGCAACGGATTTGTTAATAATTCAAATGGGCAAATCAAAGAAACCAGTAAATTCTTGTCGTTTGTTCATTTAAACAACCACATTTCGATTTCGCTGATACCGACGAAAATGCAGTTGGCAACCTATATGATAACACATCTTCCATACGGTCTATTGTACACCAGAACGAATTAGACATCAATCTCATTTCGAAAGCATTCAACTTCCCGTCTTCCAGGATGAAAAATAATTTCAATTTGAAAGAGCTAACAATAAACAAATGAATCTGGATAAGGTAAGTCTAAGATGAGGCCAGAATAATGACAATATACCATCACCTGAATGTAATGTTTATAAGAATTATCTTTTGAGGTAACACAACAACGACCAGAAAATTTGACCTCAACCAAAATTTGTTCCAAGAAGTGAAATTCATTTAATTTATATTGTTATGCTTATTTACTTTAGCTTACGTTCACATACAAAAAGTTGATTCTGCCAAGCAATCGTCCGTAAACTGCCAAACATTGTTTTTTTTGTCACTGCAACTGTAGTTATGGTAAGCAGCTGTATGCACTGTGTACTTCATTTTTCCAAACCTCAACTTACGCCTAATACTTAATGAATTTATAGGAGAACCTCATTTAACATATTCCAAACTTCGCTGCCTATCTTGAAAGTGTATGTGCATCGCTACCAAGGAGGGAATTGAGGTTGAGAGAATGCAGTCGGTGACATTTCTTTTCACGCTACCTCTTTCTATACCTTCGTAGTAACATGTCGTAGGAACCGTTATAACGGCAGGGTGCAACACCTTTATGCGGAAAAAGAGAGGGGGTAGCATGAGCAACAACGTCACCATTCTGTTCACCTCATCAACAACAGTCAGTGCTCCGCGTAGTAAAACCAGCTTCTCTTATCTCTTCCATAATCGTTTTTTTGTTGATCTCAGAAGACGCATCCAATACGTTTTGCATCACCGACTTCGTCTCATTTTTCAAAATTTTCCTTCAATAAGATTCTCAATCTCTAAACTTATTCGCACTTATTTCATTCTTTCTATCGAAAGAAATGAATCTCTGATGACTGCAGAAAAGCTTTACGTCAGGATAGTGATTCCAACCAGTGGACCGCCAGAACTAAAATATGCTCACGAGAGCGGCGACGCGGTGGACAGAAAACAGGCGGGATTGCTCTTATCAATATTTGACTGACTAATACGCTAGAACCTTATGAGCTGAACCTTATGGTTCCTGCTATAAATAAAAAAACCAAAATAATCCCTGGTCAGGAAAAAGTTAGGAACCACTATTTTAGGAAATGTGTGGTGCTAGAATGCCACTTCGACAAATATTTGATAAGATTTCAGTAATTCCTTCCAGATTTTACACAGTTAATAGGCCTGATTCCTCCGAAATATTTGGGTGGTAATATCTCTTTGCAGCTGCTACGAGGTCCTCAGTACTCTAAAGTGCGTCTTTAATGATGATACTTTGTCATGAAGACATTAAACACTGTAGAAAGGCGTCCTTTAAGTCCAACTAATTTATTTCTTCACCGTGAGAGGGAGTTACGTTCAGTTAAGTGTGACAATTAAATGTGAGAAAGAACCATCAGTTCAATTAAGTGTGAAACGAAAGAACCATCAGTCTCTTAAGGAAGTGAATTTATATTTAGCTTCACTTTTTTTTTAAATTGTGCTAACTCCGATAATCAGAATAATATCTTCACGACATACAGAAACAGCCGCTTACCTTTAACAGAGTAAAAGCTACCATCTCATTGTCTAAATCAAATTTCGTTTCAGGAAGATGACGAAGAGTGTGAGCACAAATTTCGGGGAACCATTGAGTATCGAATCCAAAAAACTTGTAGATGAAGTACGTTTGAAAATTAACCAAGCAATACACCCCAATGTAAGCAACAATTTGTTTATGTTCTGTAAGAAAAAATCAATAAAGCAATAAAGGATTCTCCTACATGCAAAAAAATTTTCTTCACGACTATAATAAAAAGTATTCTGATAGACAAGCTTAGAGCGGGAAATTAACAATCCATCCATTTCCAAGATCTACAACACTAAGTTCCAGCTAGAATAAATGATCTTGCAATCCGAAAATGCACTATCTTTTGGAAGTCTCAAAGCACATCTCTTTTAACAACAACAATAATCGTGTTCCGCAAAAAGTTTCATTTTTTTTTCTAATCGAACCACAGGTTTCATTTCTTCTGAAAATCGAAAGTGGAAGTTCTACCGACACAACTCATTAATTTCTTGCATTTAAATTTTTTTAGTTCGACAACGACTTTAATATTTATCGTTTCGTATTAGCTTGTGAAAGAGTCCTGAAAAAAAAGAAAGATGTTGTGGATACTGCTGCCAAAGTCCTCAACAATCATTTGCGTATTCGAAAAGCACTTAACCTGGTTTGTTTAAATTTGATTTACTTTAATTTTTCTTTAATTTTCAATTTTTTTTGTTTAATTTTTTCTTTTTTTCCAAGAAAGAAAAATCTTTAATTTTTAATTTTCTTTAATTTTTTCTTTCCAAGTAACACATATTAAATGTTTGCTTTTGAAATATGGTTCATTTATATTATATTCGCTATTATATTAAGATAAACTGTTACAGGATAATCTGCCAGATCTTCCGTTTCCCGAAAACCCCATGTACTCTCTAAAACTGTTTCCGATGGGAAATATTCTGCATGTAACAGATAATCATAACAGGTTGTTATGGTATGTAGAATATAAGACAGTCAATGTTGAGGTTGGTGTTAAGACTTTTCTCTTATGTATCAATATTAGATTATCGAAAGCTTCTATTAAGAGCAATACAAGACAAATTATTACTAATCATGATTCCAAGTAAGCTGTTTCGTAATCTGGAAGCAAGGTGTGACTTTAACGACTTTTTTTTTACTGAAGGCACCACGGTGATCTAACGAATTTTCGCTCTTGCTAACTTCAGGAAAATCACATAAATAAGATGAAAAATTGAAGCATTACTTACAGGCTATAGCTCACACACTACGTAGTTCGGAATCTATACGCTTACAATTTCGCCAATTCGAACATATGCTCAAAAGAGTCAATCAACAAGTGAACAAATAATTCTGCTTTGAAATCTTTAAAAATTTCTATATGGGAAACATTTCGACTGAATTACCTCCATAACTTCCTGATTTAAGACCTGCGAATTAAAATTTCAGCTTTTGCGGAATCCTTAGCTAATTTTCCTCACCATCCATAGTCTAGCGTCCACATTTTGAGCGCAGAAATTTGCATCAGACAGTTACTAACATTCCATACTAGTTAAAACAGATCCATATAGGTAAAAGAAAACAAAAATCCAGAAATGATAAAAAAAAAACCGCGCCTCACCACCACGAAAATTTGCCAGATTCCAGGAAAAGAAAACCGGCCGATTAAGTGGTCTAAGACATATCATTGATTTGCATGATTATGAAATTAATCCGTTCACTATGATCTTCGCTACGAATGGCAATTTAGCTTATTTCTCTCAGCTGCTTCATTTCGACAATTATCCTGAGCTAGTTAGTTTGAAAGCTTTCTCTATGGACTTTCTACATATAGTTGCAAAACAGTTAGCACATTCATAATCAAAAAATCTTTCAGTGGGCAACTTTTTCTAGACGACTCTAATTACTAGAAAATTGCCATTACATCTGCTACACTTAATAACTAACGAACAAATGTAGTCCATTACACACTTAATAAAACCAGATTATTTTAGGTAAGCCCAGTGGAGATGGTGAATATCTCGAAATGGATTCATGTACCATATAGAATAGCAAGAACGATGATGCCTGACAGCTTCATAGAACGTTTCCGATTATACAATGAAAATTTCTTGTCTAATTTATTGAAAGAGATTAAAATTGAAGATATACCTACAACTTTAGGAGGCAAAAATGAGGTAACTCATTGAAACGAAAATTTCCGAATAGTTCTGAAAATTCCAGGAAAAGTTATGTCACTAATACAAAATGTTGTGATAATTTAGAATGTATGTGATAATTTAGAATTTAGCCTAAATTAATCAAGGATGGTTCCCTAGATTTCTCTTATCATGATGAAACACTAGCAGTTCCACTTTTTTCTTTTTTTTTGAGCAACCTTAGCAAAGATACCTTTACTTCTTTTCTTTCAAATAAGAGAAACCAGTCCCAGATAAATAATAAATATTTACAGCGACAACAGATAACAAAACTTCTGAAGTTAGTAAAATTCGGTAATGCAGAATCAGACTAAATTTATATAGGAAATTCAATGTCAACCAGCAACAAAAGAACAATATGTTAAGCCAAAAAACCTCGAGCCACCAAGCAATTTGGAAGCAATCACAATCCCACCAGGAAAACGACGTCAAATTTATGTGGATGTAAAGGAGAAAGGAAATAGACTACAGTGGTATTTTACTACGGATAGTGACATTAGTTTCGGCGTTTTTTATGAGGTGATCAAAAAAAACTGGATAATGTTTAAGTCATAGAAAAAAACCACCAGACTAGCAAGAACTATCAAGGCAAAGGCCTTTTCGGTCAACATTTTAATAGATAAAATTTAAAAAACAATATTATTTAGTATCGTAACTCAGTTATAAGATCAAGGTAAATTTAAACAGAAGATAACAATAAGCATTAACAACTTGATCCAACTTGAAATGATGGTTTATCTACTTAATTAAAGCAAAAGATCTCTGGCAAAGACTAGGAGAATTTAAATTTCAGCCTCCACAACAAATCCTGTCATCAAACGAAGCGATAACTAGTACGCGACAAGAACAAGAGATTGATACTAATGAACTTGAAATGGTTTACCCATGGCTCAAACTGAGCGCGAAGTTAGTACCTGAAGCGGATTCAATAGAGTGTACGACACCGGGTCGTTATTGGATAATTATCTGTAACAAGTTATCGTGGATGCGACGGAAAACAGTGAATCTAGTCATTCAATTAGTATACAAAGATAGTGGCTATGTTAAACAGTGTCACAGCGATGGAACATTTGGCAGTTGCTCAAAACCGTTCGTTACTGATTGTTTGTTATAATTTTAAAAGAGCAAAAACTTTTGATATTCATAAATATTGCATAAATACAAATTACATGTACTACGTGTTTCGGTAACATTTCTTTCTTCTGAAAATTACCAAAGCACATATAGAAATCGGTTTGGAGAAGAAAAGTCAAACACCAGAAAGGAGAAAAAAGAAACACAGCTATACCTTAAAATTCTACTTTGCTTTTTGAAAATAAATAAAACAAATATCAATCTTGTGAACCGATATGAACGGTACACCACCTCGAAATACCTGTATTAGACTTTAATGGTTTTAAGTCGAGGGAGCATTTAGATCTTGGTAATAAGTTTTACATGATATTCAATGCAATGAGCTACGTATGAGACAAGAACCAAAATTAGCCAGTACTAAAGATTTCTAACGGTTACTTTATCAATGAAACTAATACTGGAATTTGGAACTTTAAAGAATGTTTAAAGAATGTGCAAACTGTCCACTCCACAGTTTTAATGTTTATCATATAATGTTTTCAGAATGATGTGTCTCAAATTCATTGTCATCAGTTCAAAAATACGATTTTGATACTAAACCGATAAAAACTGTTCTTACCAAAGAGAACTGCAGGAGCACAAATATTATTATGTTACAGAAGACTTCAATCTAATAGCAGTTTTCATGATTTACACATCTGAAGAACTTATACTTAATAACTACTTGATAACTGACCGGAGTAAGTTCTTTGATGTCTTCTACGTGACCAAAAAATCGCCCACCGGCACTCAGCGAAAACAATTCGACAATCTTATGTTTGGAGCATGCCGTTGCAACAACCAACAAACCATTCTCATTAGCCAAATTCCGGACTACTTTAAGAAACAAAGTTTTTGTGGAATAAAATATATAAAAATGCAACAGTAACAAATTAAGTGGGTACTGATGGATTCCACCAACCAAAGTACGAGAATAAGTTAACTAACATTAACTGCAACTGGACTTTGCAAACTTACATTCGGCACATTTCTCCAAACGAACATTCTTCACATTCTCATCTTGATCATGCAATAAAATATCCAAATTATCCAAGAAAAGGACTGAAGGATAACGTCGCCTTAAACGCGTCATCGTAACTTTTAGTACATCTTGAAATTTTTCAATTGATTTACCTATAAACAGATGGTTCAAAAATCAATGAACTGTTTTGAAAAATAATATTTGTGCTAGGTAACACACTAGATCATTCATGAAGATACTGAGTAATCAAACTATTAAAATAGATGATAAATAAAATATCCAGCTTCAATATTTAAGTAGTTCAACACCAGTAATTATTCTAAATTTGTTACACTAATCCTTTGAACCATTCAAAGCACTGAAGAGCTACGAACAGCGGCACTGTACCAGTATACTTAACATTAAGAAATCATTAAAAAATATATCGCTTCTAAATTTTAGGAAATTTTCAGATAAGAATTCACCATTCCATTCAGAGCAATATAGATATTCACTGTAAACAGCCAAGTGAGAGTGCAGTAGTTTTTTTGCGAGGAAATGTAGAATAGTTGTTTTACCCGCCGATTTGTTACCCACTATAAGAATATTTTCTGATGAGGAAAAAGTAGGCTTCTCCAAATGATATGCAATGTATGTGTAACATTTCTCAATAAATGCAATTTGGAATCTGAAAATTTCTAACATTAATTCTGGGTTGAATAACAATGTTTATAATAGCGTTCAATAATTTCAGCATTTTAAAATGTTCAGGCTCGACCACTCTGATTGTTTTCCAGCCTTCCCACATATATTGAATATCTTTTTCCCATAACTTCTGCTGCAGTGTAAAATGTTTCCACGAATAAAACATACGAAAATTCAACTATTTTATTCTCCCACTCGCCGAAATTTACAACTGCCCCATGAACATTCTCTACATTTGTTTTCTGCATCTGCACATAGCTACCATCCACCGGATCAGTATTCTGGAAGAATTTAAAGGTCCGTATTTCTGGATCAGCCTGTTAAATAAAAAATTAAAATTTGCTACAGCAAACAATCCCAGCTATCTCCCAGTAATACTTTCGAAGCCCCAACTCCGATGTGTAGATGTAAATCTTATATCAAAGTTTTTCATCAAATTATCCCCGACTATTTTCCAAACATATTTTTAACTTTCTTACCACAGAAAAATACAAAAATTATCATTATGGAATGTTTCATTTACCCGATATTCAAGCAGGGGAAAAACATCGTTAGTGAAGACGAAACATTTTCGAGACCCGTCATCTTTTTCCTCATCAAGGTGAGGCCGAATCCGACACTGTATATGAGATCTGTCTACAAAATATTTTATCTTCCTTAATTTTGAAATATATCTGCTGAATGCCTTTTTGTCAGTCTTCAATTTTGTGGACAATGTAAATATTAATAGAAAAAGACACACATACAAATGATTAAAGTAGTTGAAGAGACAAGATAAGTGTATTAGCCGTGAAACAATCGCACTCTAGTAAAATCAAAAGCATTAAACTTATAGAGGATCTTAAAATCTAATCCAAACTTACGAGATAAATTCATTTCCACTTTGAGCCCGTCAACTGGAACAATGATTGGACAATGTCGACAAGTC